GCTACTACTAATGGTTCAAAAATATAATGGAACAAAGAGCAATTATAAAATTTTGTGTCAAACTTGAAAAAAAAAATTTAATGAAAAAAGTTTATTGTGATGATTGTATGAGTCGTACGCAAGTTTATACGCGGTTTACACGATTTAAAAATGGTCGTGAGGATTTAAATGACGACCCTTGAGCAGGACGTCCAGAAACTAGTAATCGTGCTGAACTGGTGGAAAAAGTGCGTGAAATCATTGGTAGCGATGCAAATTTTACTACGAGAATGTTGGCTGAGGAATTGAATATGGGTAAAAACACTATTTGGAGAATTTTAACTGAAGATTTGTTCGCGATTTGTTCCACATGAATTAAATGACGAACAAAAAATCGCTCGAATTTTTAATGAATTTTTAATGAAAAAAGGAATTCCTCTCACCGACCATCCTCCGTATTCGCCTGGTTTATCACCATATGACTATTTTTTATTTCCAAAACTGAAAACCAAGATGAAGGGAGCATTTTCTGATGATATCCCAGCCATTCAAGCAGCCGTAACCGAGTTACTGAAGAACATTTCTATAAATGACATAAATAAATCTATGCATGCGCTGGTTGATCGTTCCAAACGTTTTGTTGAGTCAAATGGAACCTATTTTGAATAAATAATAACATTCAAAGAAAATATAATGTGTATTTCATTTTATATACAAAAAGTTCGTTTATATTTGGGACACACTGTATATAAATAAATTTAAATAAATTGGATCTAAAATAATTTTTCACACCTTAGTATAAATACTTTAGTCATGTTATTTTTTGTTTCTTCACAAATCGATATCTTTTCGGATTTTCGGAAGAGCTCCTCCTCTAGTTGGTAATGTGTCTGTTGCTGTTTTCAAACAAATGGAGGGGCTTAAAGTTGAATCTATTGCGATGATAGCTGATGACTAATTTTCTTTTTAAATGATCCCAAAAAGTGTTAAAGAAAAGCTTGAGATCTACATGACAAGCCATTAACACTTCTTCGACAAGACACTTCCATCAAATTCTCGTTTGCAGCGAACTAATAGTGAATTGCTGTGTGGCATGGCATACCTTCTTATTGAAACCAGTTTCCCTAACAGGCATAATCTCTCGATAATAATTCAAAAATGTAGTCCAATGATGGTCTTGGTGCAAACGCTGTTCTTCAGATATGTGAATTTAGCTTTTTTAATCTGCAAGATAGTGATCTTCGTCAATCATCTAAACTTTCTTTCGAAAATCAAGTTCAATGTTAGCCATTCGAGCGACGTTTACGCCCGGCTTATTTAGTTTTTATCGAGCTTCTTCTGAGCTAATGCATGTCCTGTCAAATTTTATAGCTAAATTAAAGCATAAGCAGGAATAGGTTGCCAGGGTTCAGAGGATTACGTAGTTCTGTTGCTGTACTTTAATGCGAAGTTTTTTGCCTCTTCTTTTATGGTCTGTATATTTAAATCGTTTTTGGATGTTTTTTTTTTAAACAAGCGCACGTAACAGTTCTTAGAAATTCAGTTTAAAATCTTTGTAATGCATCGAAACCGTTACCCTGAATTCCTTACATTTTTAACGGTCTTTATGGTCGCTTTATAGGAATGCATAGCCAAACTGAGCTCAAATTTCTCCTTCAAAAGCCAATGCAAACTGTCCGAGTAAATAATTCCATTAAATAATTCCATTAACTTGTGGAATATGTAGATTGTTGAGCTCTACAGACTTTGCAGTTATTTTCGTTGAATTTTGTTGACAACATTTTGCTAGCCATTCTTCATGTTGTTCGGTAGGACTTACACATGTCATTTTTATAAAGAAAACGAGAGATTGATAGCAACATTTATTCGAAAAGTTTGGCAAGGCAACAGGCTGATTGGCCCTGGATTTACTTACCTTTGCCTAACATAATTATCTACGACTAATGCCATGATACTGGATAATATCATAACTTCAATTAAACTCTATTGATTATTTCGTATTTCGAAGCTTTATATCTTGAAAGGGGGGGGGTTTGAAGGCAGAAAAAAACAGGTTTCTACAGATTTTTTTTTGGGCGTACGGTGAAAGTAAATTTATTACTGATTATTGCAGCAATTCATCGCAGGCGCTTCAGAAAAAATACATTTTGCGGTGCACGTCATACCTCAGCACTGGATCATCTGAAATGAAATAACCAAAGTTTTTCTATCAATTTTTATGTCCCTCTAGGTATCCCTGTGGAGTTTTTCCATTTTTTTTTTTAATTTTTGAACTTTTTACAAGACTTGAAAGTGAAAATACCGATTTTTGGTCAAAATTCATGACTATTGTTGTTAATAATAAAAAAATTAAAATAAAAAACGAAAAAATCTCGACAGGGTTACCTCATAAATTAGAAAGGAAATACTGTAAAAAATTTGAGAACGATCGGTTGAATAGATTCTGAGATACAGAGTGCACCGACTCAAAAAACATCGATTTGAGAAAAACGCGTTTAAAGTTCTCGCGCCCGCTAATCAGTCTCCTGAGCGCATTGTCTCTCAGAGGCCATTTCTGCGGAACTACTAGGAATTTGACTCTGAAATTTCGTGGAAATATTTCTGAATATATTTCTAAGCGAATGAGATAAGTTTAAAAAAATCGATTTTTTTGACCGTCTAAACCAGGCTCCCCCCATAAGGCATTCGACTTTTACTCAATCCAATGTGGTACCAATTGCGCTTATCGACGGCGAACGTTAACATATGCCATTAGAACAAGGATATGGATAGTTGACCTGGTTCAATGGTTTATGTAATATTTTGACTTGTCTCCATTAAAGGCTAGACTCAATCGTTTCCTTACCGATCAAGGGAAAGCAAAACTGAGTTTGTAGAGTTTAGGTTATAACCATTAAAAGCAATCGTACACACGAAGAACCCAAATCAATTATACAAAAATAAATTCACTGGCCAAAAGTCGTATTGAAGGAATTATTATTTAAGGTTTGGACTTGTAAATTACAGCGGAGACACGATAACTGTTATAGTTGTGGTATATTCTTTTTTTTTATTAAAGTTTTAACCAACAATATAAAGACTATCTAATCGTCTTCATACTGATCTTCAATCGATCATATTTAGTAAATCACTCGGAAGGCCAGTCTTTGAGTGCTGCCCTTACCAACATCCAAAACAAATATATATATCTAATTGTGATCACACTTCGACATCGAATGTCTAGCGCTCCTAGCGAATTTCGGATATGAAATAAAATCTTCTCATAAAAATCCGCCAAAAGTTCAGAAGCGGCTTAGAATTAATTGTATGTCCCTCCAACAACAAATTAGTGCAGAGTTACGTCCAGAAATCGCTTCAGTGCAAGTTTGCTGAGAGCTTAAATTACCAATTCTGCCTGCTTTGTTTTGCTTTGAAATTTTCTTACCAACTTTTTAATGAGATTTCTCGTAGATTTCATTTTTAGACGTTTGTATGCTAATTCCGCACATGACAAGTTATTGGTTAAATTACCGAACGTGGAAATGCTCATGGACGTGGTGAAGATCCGAATTCTTTCACAGCCTGCAGTTGATCATAGCACCGTTACTTTCACAATTAAGAGAAAAGTTACATGTTCTTTACATTATTCTTTGGCTCACGTCTTAAGCATCAATCTTTGTTGGCGTTATGAGATGCCGAAAAAATGTGCTAAGGGAAATACGTTCTACTCAAATCCAGTTTGAAAATTGGGTTGCCCAAAAAGTAACTGCGGATTTTTTAAAAGAAAGTAAATGCATTTTTAATAAAACTTAGAATAAACTTTAATCAAATATATAATTGCGATTTTGTTCGATAACCTTTTGCCATCTTCCTGGCAAATTTAGTATTCCACGCTCATAGAACTTCTGGCCTTTATCTACAAAAAACTGAACCAAGTGCGATTTTATAGCCTCATCATTGCCGAAAGTTTTACCATTTAAGGAGTTCTGCAAAGATCGAAATAAATGGTAGTCTGATGGTGCAAGGTCAAGGCTATATGGTGGATGCATCAAAAGTTCCCAGCCAAGCTCACTCAGTTTTTGGTGAGTGACCAAAGATGTGTGCGGTCTAGCGTTGTCCTGGTGGAATATGACACCTTTACGATTGACCAATTCTGGTCGCTTCTCCGCAATGGCTGTATTCAATTTGTCCAATTGTTGACAGTAAACATCCGAATTAATCGTTTGGTTTCTTGGAAGCAGCTCGAATATATACGACACCCTTCCAATCCCACCAAACAGACAGCATAACCTTCTTTTGGTGGATATCAGCCTTTGAAGTGGTTTGAGCTGGTTCACCATGCTTTGTTTTCGACTAACGTTGTTGTAAGCAATCCATTTTTCATCTTCTGTTATGATTCGTTTTAAAAACGGATCGAATTCATTGGGTTTAAGGTGCATATCACAAGCGTTGATTCGGTGTGTTAAATGAATTTCTTTCAATGCATGTGGTACCCAAATCCAGTTTAAATAATATTATCCCTGCATACGGATACGTGAAGTGAATGCAGCATTTGAAATTAAAATTTCATGAATTGATAAAGGTATGCAATTTTTTTTAATTTAATACGGTATTCCTAGCATTTATAGCAATCTTTTTAGCTAACTCTGGTATGGTTTTGTTGAATTTTTAGCTTGATTTTTTAGAAATGTTTTGTTGGCGATAATTCCATTTTTAACATGACATAATTTAAGTTATTTCCTCCTCATCTTCTTTTATATTTTTAAAAATTAATACAGTTTTGTTCTTTTAGTTAAAAATTATAATTGATTTAGTAGTTTAACAGTTAGGAATATATACATTTCTTTCGCTCATAACAATTACAACATAGGACCGTTACAAAATTATTTTAGGAAATACAATATCGGTAATGTAAATTCAATAGATAAATATGTCTTAATATTTGTATATTTATGCACTATAAACAATACAAATAAACATGTGTATACAAATAGTGATCTAAATATATATATATAATATTTGTATATATAAGTGCGTATACATTAACTTATTACATTTTTACATCAAACAGCTTAGGTATGTATGTAAACATTTGAAGCCACAAAAATATCATATATAGTTTACCATATTCATCACTATCACTATCATTTAAATACAATACATTTCATAAAAATCCACTAAACTAGGAAAATGCAATATATTTTTTGCTCATACTTGTTCGGAATATATTTTAAAGCTTTGATTTTGCTTGAGGAATTATAATGTCTTTCCACCATGAAGCCCGTTCAAAGGCGCCCTTATTGGTCATAAATTCTCTCTGTAAATTCTCATACAAAAGCCCATCGGATTTGGCGATAACCGAGTTGAGTGCGAAATCTGGTGGTGCCAAAGCATCCGCTACCGACACTGCCGAATCCTTCAGTTCAGCGCATTTCGTTAGCAAACGAGATCGTATCGCTTCCGCAAACGAAGCCGACTTCGCAAAGCCACCAACATAGAATGTGGTCATGTGGCGGTCGATACACCACATTGAATAGATTGTGAACAACAGTTCCAGCACCTGTGACAGCTCACTGTTCACCGTTAAACGACGGAAACGTTCACGGAAATGACTTAAAGCAAAGTATTCTGCATAAGCCAATGACAAATCACGCGCACCATACACCTGCGAATTATTACGTGCATCAAATGGATGTACGCCGGTTTTTCTATCCTCCGCCACACGATTTGAGGTTTTATTCAAAAGATAGCACAACATCCATTCATAGCATTTCAGTACGACTGCAAGTGATGTAGAATTTAGTATTGTTAAACACTTAAACAAATATATACAATAAATTTTTGTACTCACAATCCATAGATTCAATTGGCGACTCACGCAGGACCCTCTCGTATGTATGCTGCAGAATGTCTGCACGATTTTTCAGAAAATTTGCAGTACCCACTGGGCTCTCTACTGTGCCATTCCACTGGCGTAGAAGCCAGTTGGAGGCTTGTTGACCGAGCACGTTGTTGTCACCTTCGTATGTCAAACTCGGATCGTGGTCGTTGCGTAGATCACCAAGTTTAGAGGCTTTCAAGTAACCATGACCTCCGCAAGCCTCTCGCGCTTCTTGTATGGCATCTCTAGCTGTCCATGTAATCAGTGGTTTCGAGGAAGATATAACTGCATGGATTTCCGAAACAATTTGAGTCTGCAAGTTTAAGGAAATTATTTTAGATTAGTGATAAGAGACTAGCTGAGACACAGCTGACACAAAGTGGGTAAGCGAGTTTAAAACAATCGAAAGTGAGGAAACAAGTTATGCAAGCAAAACGAATTGCATTGTTAAGAAAATGTCATAATGACATAAAAATGATTTCGACTGCCCCCAAATATCCAGCTTTTCTACATCCAAAGCGAGGCAGTAGTCTAAAGTTGCGCAAGTTTTAAAAGGCAACTAAAATAACTCTAATTTCTACCCAAATCAGGTTAAGGATAATGTAGTTGGCCGTCGAAGCGATTTTCGGGCGAGCTCCTTTCTTCCATGTCCATAAGGGTTTCTTTTATAGCAGCCTTTTACAGTAAAATCATCTTTGACTTTTACATTGACATATTGCCTTGTTGCTCCGCCATTAACTCTGTTTTTTATTAAACTTTTTATGGACAAAAATCCCTAAAACTTTTACCTGAAAATTAGTGGTAAAGAATACCATGCCATTTTTCTGTTTTTCATTGTATGCATTGAGCCGCCCGCTATTTTTTCTTCAAAGAATGCAGCTTATGATTAAAAAGGTCTGGACTGATTTTCAGTTTAAAGAGCATTTCATAATAGAGTATAACGGCGTACAATCTTATTTCTGGGTATGCGGTTACACTTAATTTGTTCCCTAACATACCAGGCACATACCTAAATAAGATGAGAAACCCTTTTTCAATATGCAGTCGGCAATCCTGGAGCTTTTGCAGGATCTCGTATTATACATACGATAAGACAAAGAGTAGAATTGATCTTCCTACGGTTTTACGACTCGCTGTTTATGATGAAAATAAACGCATAGAGGTCGCAGTGGCCCATAATTTTGTACGCCCATAGGCAGGAGCGCCATATATAACATATATATGGCAGCCGCTGTAGCCGAGTGGTTATCGTCGCGTACTACCAACTGCCTTTCCAAAGTCCAGAGATTAAATCCTCGTATGACCAACATCCAAAAGTTGTAGAAAATTAATTTAAATAAAAAATGAAGTTAAATTTTCTAATTGCGGTCGCACCTCGGCATGGAAAAAACCATCAGCCGTTCAGGGGCGGCTTAGTATAAACTGTAGGTGCCTCTATTTGTTGGAAAACGATTAAGACGAAAAACCACAAATTGGGGAAGGAGCAAGGCCGACAATTGCTTCAGCGGTTACAAATAACCAATTATAAAGGGTGGTTTTTTTAAGCTATTATCTTTTTGACAAGACTGATTTAAACAGCTGACACACGTTTCATGATTTCTGTCAAATAGACTTTTTTTTGTGGTTCTCTGTTAAATGTAATGTCTATACAGACAAGCACGCTTCAATTGACACAACATTGAAGCAAGCGTGAGATGCCGGCCGAAATGTTGGAAAGGGTATGCCAAAATTGGACTAAGCGGATGGACCATTTGAGACGCAGTCACGGTCAAAATTTGTATGAAATGATCTTCAAACATCAAATTATATGGTCCGCGCTTTCGATTCAAATAAACATTTCAGGCATTTTTCTGAATTCAATGTACTTTTTTTTTGAAAAACTTTCCTATAGCTCTTAAAAATTTACCCTTTATTATATATAGCAAAGTAACTACGTAGTAAGTTGGAGCCGTTTACATTTCAATCCTCAAGAAAAATCGGAACAGGCTCTGAAAACAAATACAACAATCGTGACTTATGAAATCAATGAAGCTCCTCGCAACAATAAGAAGTCACAGAAAAAAAATTAAATACTAATTGTGGAGAGGGAGCTGAGCCCTGAAATTTGTTGTTTAGCTTTTCATCAAAAAATTTCTAAAAAATTCTATGAATAACTGATGACTGTACAATCATTTTGAGCACCATCAAAAACTAACAACTAACAAAAGTCCTATTACGAAATGCCCAACTCACCAATAACTCGAATCCATTGGAGTCCTTTTGTGACTTTTCAATTATCCCTAGGTAAATGTCCGTTAATTCCGCCACTGCAACTTTTAGCACTCCCGCAGCCGCTACATAGGGGAAGATACGCCATTGCTAAATAAATTATAAAAAATATAAATATTTAGCAGGAATATTTTTGCGCTTTATGAAAAATACCCACCTGTAATTGGTATTCAATTATTGGGACTTCGGGACCTTTTTTCTCGGGACCAAATTGTGTGCGTAGTGCTGCATAACGTACTGCAATTACGGCAGCACTCGCAAGAGTATTCACAGATTCTTGCATAATGCCAATACGACCGGCAGAAAAGGACTCTAAAGCAGCGCCCAGAACTTTGCCGGGCTCGGAAAAAACACTTTCATACGCACCTTCGGGCGTTACATCACCAGTGCGATTTAGCAAATTCTCACGTGGAATGCGATAATTCGAAAACATGACAAAACCGTTATCTATGCCATTCAAACCGATCTTTTCACCCATATCACCAACCAACACGCCTGGATATGCTTGTAATGTTTTAGGATCACGTATGGGTATCAGAAAACCGTGCAGCCCATGATTTTCGCCATCTGCCGTGTATAAATTGGCAAACGTCATAGCGATTGTGGCTGTTTTACCCAAATTACCAATCCAACATTTTGCCGCCTCAAAGTCCGGTGTATTAATGATAAACTCCTGTGTTTTCGGATCATATGTAGCCGTTGTGCGTATACTTTTCGTATTACTGCCGTGCGATAGCTCAGTAATGGCTAAGCAAGTAATTAGTTCGCGGTTCCAAGCTGCATCGTAATATTTCATATGTCTTTCGGTGCCCATAGCGCGTATGGCATTGTTGAAGAGGCCCACGCCCAATGCGATTTTCACCGACAAACTCGGACAATATGTATGTAAAGCCTCATTTATGCTCATTAAATATTTAGTTTTCTCGCCGAAACTCTTTTGTTCGATCTCTTTTGGAATGAGATCGAGATGTGGCATCCGGTTAACTTGCATGGCGCAGAGATGTTTCTGCTCATCGGATGACATTGTGGTTTCTTGTTTGGAAAACAGTGGATCATTTTCCAAGATCTTCCACACTTTATACTGCAAAATGTAATTTTTTTATGTATAAATAAATAAATGAATGCAAATAAAATAAAATTATATATTAAAAACTGCTTACCTTTATCCGCAAGTCCTGTTCTCTTTCGAATATCACTTTAAGTTGTTTCCAGTCGAACTTGGCCCTCCTGCGGTATGCGCACAGCGGTCCTTTTGGAAGATCCGGTATGAATGACGTGTCCGTGTTCTGGCTCATATCGCCGGCTTTCGAAACTGTAATGAAAAAGTTAAAGCAATGAGTACATTTATGAAAGTGAAACTCCACCCTCTTCTTAACACTTACGAAACGAAGTAAGAGCAAGAGGCATAAATAAAACTTAGCTGTGGTTTTTTTTTTAAACAAATGAACGCATATGTGTGTGTCTTTCATACATGCGGAGAATGCGTATTGAAATATGAAACCATTGGCAAACTTAAAAGTGCTTTAAAAATCAATGGAATGCACTTCAGAGGTAAACAAACTCTCTTTAGAGACCAACAACCACAATATGTATATATATATATATATATATATATATGCATACGTGCGTAAAAGCATAAGGTAAAGTATTTTATTATTATTTTATTATGTCTGATCCAATTTCAAATTTATTGGAAAAGTAAGTATGTAGAAAAATTTATCATTTTAATTCGAATATAGAACTTCTACAAATGATCAAACGTTATCCGAATATATGCAGTTTTTCTGTTAATTGTATAGGAGACGATCATCAGTAAGAAGACTAACTGTGCCAAATCATTGAAGTTCGATTGATCAAGGTTTCTGATTGTCATGTAATACATAAGTTGGGTGTTCCCCTCAGAATTTTTGCACCCTTCAAACTATACTATATGTACATATAAGGTTGTCAAATATCTCCCTTCTGCTTTTTTGCTCTCCATTCAATGCTTTATAAAAAGTGTTACAGTGATCGAATTTAGTTAAAATATGCGCCGTTTTGTTCGATGATCTGTTTCCATCTAGACGGCAAGTTCATAATACCTTCCTCGTAGAAGCCCTCCTCCTTATTGCGAAGAATTCGGACAGCCACTTTTCTCAAGCCTCTTTTGAGTTCAACTTCACACCACCAAGGGCATTCGCCATGGACAGGAACAGGTGGTAATCACTTGACGCTACGTCCGGGCTATATGGTGGATGCGATGAAACCTCCCATCCGAGCTCCCGTAGCTTCTGACGAGTCATCAACGAAGGGTGTGGTCTGGTCCTTTCAAATTATGTATAGTGTTACCAGATACGAGCTCTGTAGCGCTTTGTACATAGCCGTGAAATTCAAAAGACAAAAAAGCGGAAGGGAGATATTTGACAACCTAATATATGTGCATCATCTATTGTAATTTATATCTTGATAATATCATAAAAATTCTCTCTACAAACGCGTCATAAAGTACGAAGCCTACGACAGTACAATAAACCAACAAATGAGCATGGAGTCGAGATTTCACTTTCGTTTATAACAGCAATTATTTTAACAAGAAGGAGGAAATGCCTTGACTGGTTACCTATAAGTTAGGCATTATATTTTTAGTTCACACAAAGCAAAAATAAAATTATAAAATAACTAAATTTAAATATAACTAAAATAAAATAATAAAATCTATAATTAAATAAAATAAAATAATAAAATCTAAAATTAAATAAAATAAAATATATAAAAATAAAATTAAAAAAAAATAATATAAAGTAAAAAAATGAAATAACTTAAATTAAAAAATTTGAAAAATTAACACAAAATAAATAAAATAAATGAAAATAAAATAAAAAAATAAGAAAAATAAAAATAAAATAATATAACCTAAAATGAAATAAAATAAAATTAATTAAAATAAAATATGTTAAAAACAATAAAATAAAATCAAAAAGATAAAATACACTAAAATGCAATAAAATATATAAAAAAATTTAAATAAAATAGAATAAAAATAAAATTAAATTAAATAAAAGAAAAACAATAAAATAAAATTAAAACAAAATAAAAAAAAACATTTGAATTAAAATAAAAATATATAAATATAAATAAAATAAAATATTTTTAGAAATAAACAAAACAAATTAAAAATGAAATAAAATGAAAACAAAATAAAAATGAAATAATATAACCTAAAATGAAATAAAATAAAATTAATTAAAATAAAATAAGTTAAAAAAAATAAAATAAAATCAAAAAGATGAAATACAATAAAATATATAAAAAAAATTTAAATAAAATAGAATAAAAATAAAATTAAATTAAATAAAAAAAAAAAAATAAAATATAATTAAAACAAAATAAAAAAAATCAATTGAATTAAAATAAAAATATATAAATATAAATAAAATAAAATAATTTTAGAATTAAAATAAAATAAAATACAAAAAGGAAACAATAAAATGAAAACAAAATAAAAATAAAATAATATAATCTGATATTAATAAAATAATAAAATCTAAAATTAAATAAAATAAAATATATAAAAATAGAATTAAAAAAAATAATATAAAGTAAAAAAATGAAAACATAACACAAAATAAATAAAACAAATGAAAATAAAATAAAAAATAAGAAAAATTAAAATAAAATAATATAACCTAAAACGAAATAAAATAAAATTAATTAAAATAAAATAAGTTAAAAGAAAATAAAATAAAATCAAAAAGATAAAATACAATAAAATATATAAAAAAAATTTAAATAAAAGAGAATAAAAATAAAATTAAATTAAATAAAAGAAAAACAATAAAATATAATTAAAACACAATAAAAAAATCCATTGAATTAATATAAAAATATATAAATATAAATATAAATAAAATAATTTTCGTATTAAAATAAAATAAAATACAAAAAGGAAACAAATTAAAAATGAAATAAAATGAAAACAAAATAAAAATAAAATAATATAAACTGATATAAATAAAATAATATTGATTAAAGCACAATAAAATATGCAATAAAATGCAACGTATATATGATTCCATTTAATTATAATAGGCCACTTCTATGGAACTATTTTCTTGCTATTTGTATTCTTTGATCTAGATATTCTCACAGATAAAGTTATGATCGTACAGAAGCAAACTCCTGTAGCACCCCTAAAGATAATCACGCGACTGATGGACGAAAAACTTCTTCAGTCTGCTGAATGACGAAAATGAAACACCAGGAGACTTCGTAAATCATTGACGATGGAACAGATGTTTCATTACTCAATCATGAAGAAGTTCGAATAGCAATCGACTGCACAAAAACAGTGCGGGTCACGATGGATTGCCCAAGAAGAAGAACTGATAAGGTTCTTGCATCAGCCTATTAGCAAAACAACAGCAGAGAACAATTTCGGTATTTAAATCCAACACAGAATTACTCTTGCCAACAGATGCTACTTTGTACTGAGTAAGCAATTGACTCTACAAGTCACTCATTATTTCCGTATCATATACACGTACTCGTAATTGGCGCAATGGAACCGCTGAAGTGAATTTGACCGAGCTCCTCCTCTATTATTTGGTATGCGTCTTGATCTTTTTCCAACAAATGGTGGGACCTATAGTTTATACTGAGCCGCTTGAGAAAAATAATGGCAAAAGTACACTCGGACAACTTCACATTTCATGTCATGACGTAAAACAAACAGCAGACACTCCTTTTGAACTCCTCAATTTTTATCAGAAGAGAATTCATAACTATGATTCTTCACCGCCAAACCGTCCGTACCCAGTGGTTAGCACTGCGTACTGCCATTGTAAAGGTCCTGGTTCGGCCAATATTCACAGTGATCCCTCGGCAAGGAAATAATGAGAATAAACTGCAGCTCCCTCCATTTGTTGGAATAACATCAAAACGAAAAAACACAATGTATTTAAGTATATACTCTGAACATTTTGTTATTTTAGAAATTACACGCATATCTGTAACGACGCGTCAGAACATTTGAAAGCGGTAAGCCGGTGTGGCATCTCGTTTTTTTCAAAACTATGCTTTTTAAGTCGGTGATCTTGATTTCTCGGGAACGGCTAAACCGATTTGTGCACGGGCTGCCGAACAATATTTTCTAGTATCTTTCCGAGAAAAATTAAAATTTTTTTTTTTTTTGAAAAGCCATAGCTGTCAAAAACATGTTTCGATTATTCCTTCGATTAAACACAAGTTTATACATTAATTTAACGAAATCTTTTTATGTCACCGCAAAACGTATTTTTGAGAGATCTGCAGTATCAGCTTCAAAAACTTCTATTTTTATAAATAAAAAATTTTTAACTCCTCTTCAAAGGTACAATAATATGTGTAAAAATGCTTAAAAGTAATAAAGCTAAAAAAATTCTCAAAATAATAAAGCTGAAAATAACAACAAATGTAAGTTAAAATTTAGAGGCATATCATTGCTATTGCTCCAAATTACTTAATTATTTAAATCGGTATCTTTCGTTAATTGAGGTATGTATGTATAATATAAATTGTTAGTGTTTTATAATTAGAGAAAAATTATTAATAAATATCAAGAACACAATCGGGAGAAGAATTATGTCCGAAAAGTATTAGATAATTTACTCAATTGAACGTCTTACTAAAGTCTAATATATTTATTTGAAACATGAATAATAAATTCAATCATATTAGTAACTAAAAATTATTGGAGTTTAATTATTGCTTCAAACAGTTAAGAAGAAAGCTCTGCGATCACCTTATAATTTAATATCGAAGTGAGTTAACTCCCTTTCGGTAATTTAGCAGAAAATGTTATGTTAACAGTGGTTGCTGTCACTACTAATGTAATCATTTCGGATGTTTCGGAATATTTCTTGCCAGAATCGTATATTTTCGGATTTAATGAGGGGTAAGACTTTTATTTTGCATGGTGAAATTTTGTCTGCAAAAGTTATTTCTTTGCATTAGTTTTAACATAAATGCCTATATTAAGTAATTGGCGAAGAGAATACTTCTCCGCCTTCAAAAAAAACTGTAAGAAACAAACAAAAAGCATTTGTAAAATATCAACATAACGTGGCTCTGGTAGGTATCAGCTGATTTCTCAAAATAAATAATTTGAGGGAACAAACAACCAAATGTGAAAATGGAAACATGTATAAAAGCATTTTCGTTTCAGCGACGATTGTCCATATAGAAATAATCTGCACTTGCAAATCACAAGATTTCATAAATAGCCAAATAAAATGAATGCGCTCTCTTGAATTCCTGATTCCAATATTTGTGTCAAATTTTGCAAACTGCAAATGT